TAACTTTAACTTGATCATGATCATAATTTGTTGTATTAATTAAAACACGCATCAAATTGGTTTATTCATATAATTGCATTAAGAATCTTTTTGACTGGTTTTTTCTTTAAATACATATCCCTAACAAAATTCAGAGAACATAACATAATAGCTTAATTCTTATTCGACGAAATACATAGTCAATCTTCACCAATTTCAATTCTCGTCTTGACATTTGATGATCAAATGATTGCCTTTTTTTCACCAATACTTGTCGATCACGAGAGACTTGTTGTTTTAACACTCATGCTAAAAGGGTGTGGGCGGGTGTGTAGTTATAGAAAGATTCCGTAATAAGAAATCTATCAAAATAGCTAGCAAGACCGGTTTCGATAAGTGCTAAGAATATTATACTTATCAATTGCTTATTTGATATATAGATGTTAATAATAACTCTCCTACTAGCAATTATTTAGTAGTTAAAAGTTTATATAAAATAAACTTCCAAACTTAATAATAATTGTAATAAAATATACTTATCAAGAAAGTCTCGGAATGCCAAGATCCGGATTTCATCACCCCCGAAGAGTGAATCGTCAGTTGGCTTTGACTCGAGGGTATGGGTGTGGGTGTGACAAGCAGCCATGACAGATGTTTCGATCTTGCTTAAAGATCTCATTCAGATGGTATAATGTACTAAAGAATTTCAAAGCGAAATCCTAAGTAACATCATTATGCTGTTGCTCTGAATTCAAGTGAATGTCAAAGCATTATAAAGATATAGACTGTTTAGATTGAGAGCACCACACGACTAGTTTCGTCCTTGCTGAAGGACTCTATAGGCATGTTGACAATCTATAAGTACATGTATCTAAAACTCTCCAAAGTGCTGAAGAAGTGATAGACAAATGCGTACTAAATCCAAATAACAATATTAAATCATTTAAATTAGAACTCAAAGAATTGAAATTCAAAGCATCACACGACGCGTTTCGTCCTTGCTTAAGGGACTCGACAGGTATGTTTAGTATCTCGATATTAAAAACGCAATACATTAAAAGAGTTTCCAAAAAAAAAAAATGGAATGTAACAAATCTTTAGTTGTAGAACAAGAGCATATATAAGGAAGGAACGAGATTGAAAGCATCATACGATGTGTTTCGATGGTTACTTAGGTTATCAATCATGAGGTATATTTAGAATTATAATGACGACGTTGTAGCTGAAAATGATATCCATAGAAACTCAAAATTTCTTTGGGACTAAATAAAATATCGACTGTTCACTTTAAGCTTTGTGTGAAGCATTTCCGTTTTAATTTACACAGCGGGGAAATTCCAAATTCTCGTAAAGAATAATTATTTTATCGTTAATTCTACTGACATCTATTTTGTACTACCATGTTAATTTATTAAATTGATCCCGCAAAACAGTATTACCTTACAACAAATACTGCAAAAAAGTTCGAAAAGTACAAATCACACATTTGTACTTTTATTAGTTGCAAATATTAGCGCAACTGTGTTTCTTTTGTGGATGACATTGTGTACAACATTTAACATGTTTAGCTTTACATGGACAAGATTTCGTAGCACATTTACCATTACAGTTGCATGCCTTCATTACATGATTTATACTTACTGTCACATAGTCTTTACACGCGTCAGTAAATGTAATTGTTGGTAGAGTTGTTAGTTCGACAGCACGTAAATCAATAAAATGATATTTTCGTAAATCCAAGAAATCTTGAACACCATACACTGTTGATAATACACCTTGCATAGTACACACTTTGTACATTATAGAATCATTCGACGACCAATTCACAGATACTACTTTACAAGGTAGAACTTTAAATATTCTGTTGCTACTATCAACATGATCGTCTTGAAGGCCCACAAGGTCTCCCAGCTCGTACTGAGAATATTTAACAGTATTATCATATAACTTTTGTTTTTTAGCAGTAGATTTCATATAATCTGCTTTTGTTTTCTCCCGAACCTTCTGATGCCTATGATTAAGTGTATCATCAATTGCACGGGGAATATTTTCGCGATTACTCATAAGAAGAATATCTATAAAATTTCGGGAAAATGTCAATATAAGTGTCCTAATAAATAGTTTATACTGTTGTATGACAGACCTTGAGCAGTAGGATTATCAGCAGAGTCGAACAGATTATGAGGAAGACAGGTTATATTTGTTTCATCATGAGTTTTGTCAAAAGTACTAACAGTATTGTTAGTATTTTTAGTAGAAGACGAAGCTAGTGATTGATATTGATGTGTTGCATCGAGTATTTGATTACTAGTATCGAAAATGTTTCGTTGATTGTTGTTGTCAATATCATTTGAATCATTTGATTCATTACTAATCCCATTAGATTCATGCACTTAAAAAAGAAATGAAGCTTCCAAAAGACTATGCGTCTAATACAGAACTTACATTCATTGACTTCAGAAATGAAATCATTAGGAAGATTTTCCTCATCTTCTACATCAGATTCACTAATCATTTTCCGTGTTTCAATATCTGATCTAAGTCGTTGTCCAAACATGATATCGAAAGATGTTTTATTGGTTACTTTACAAATTGTCGTATTTATTGAGTACACCACTAGAGCTAAACCTTAACTCAGATAATAAAAATACTGAGACATCATACGTATTAGTACATATTTACCTGTCGACCAGTTATCGGTATGATTATGTTGCATCCATTTGTATAACGCTATTGCAAGTGTACGATTACTCCGTTCGATTACGCGACGTGTTTGGGAATGTCGAATCCGACCATTTAAAATGGCTAAAACTACCCAAGTCTTTTTTATAACCTACAAAAACAAAAGAATATCTTCCGTTTCATTTCATTGGAAATATTTTGTTGAAACATACTTTTATAACTCGAGCTACGAATTCCTTTCCTTTATCGCTCTGAATTATAATAGGTGCACCAAATAAAGAAAATTGATTCAACAGCTTCTCTGCTACCAATTCGGCTTGTTTAGATTCAAGTGGATAAGCCCAAGAGAACCTCGAAAAATTATCTTTCACATGTAAAATCCATTTAAATCTGCCATCGGGATGGCATCTCATGTCAATAAAATCCACATGAATACGTGTGAAATATCCAACTGAGATGACTGATTTATCTATTTGAGAAAAAGAAAGACGAATGTATTTACCAACTTTATTTCATACAAGGATCACTCACTGACTGAAGATTTTGGGAATATTTGTCGATTGCGACAGGGATCACATAACTTAATGAAGATCATAACAACATCATACGGTATCCAAGCATATTGAGCTTTCACCTAGAAATTTCCCTTTTTTTATTAACAAAAAAACATGCTAGTTCACGTACTTCTTCCCATGTCTTATCTCTTCCATGATGACCAACACGAGTGTGGCATTCATTTAATTTTGTATAAAGTTCTTCATAAGTAACAACCGGACGGCTAACTTTTCCAGTAGTATGTACAACATGTGTTTCACCAATTTTAACAAGTATAAAATGCTTCTGAGCCCAATATCGAAATTGTGCATCACCCCAACCGTCACGTAAAACTAAAATAATATCGCCATACATTTCCTTTTTAATTACATACTTGGCACGAAACTTTTGGGTGTGGGTGGGTGTGGGGTGTGGGTTGGGCGTGGGTGTGGGTGGGTGTGGGTGTGGGTGTGTGGGTGGGTGTGGGTGTGTGTGGGTGTGGGTGGGTGGGTGTGGGTGTGGGGTGTGGGTGTGGGTGGGTGGGTGTGGGTGGGGTGTGGGTATGGGTGTGCCTGTGGCTGTGTGTGTGGGTTTGGGAGTGTGGTGTGGGTGTGAGTGTTTATCTTCGCTGCATGTATATCCACACCCACACCCCCACCCACCCACACCCACACCCCACACTCACCCACACCCACACCCACATCCATCCTCTTTGCATTGACCATCATAAACATTAAATTAATTCTTTTATTATTGCACTAAAAGGATCTATTTTTAATATACATATAGACTGATGTCATATTGTAACACTAGTAGGAAAGACTTTCACTGTATAGACATTCACCCATCTCTGAATTAAAGTGTTGCTGTTGCTTTTATATGATTAAAAATATTGGCTTTTCTCTCAACTGAATCGTCAAATCAAATCAAAAAACGTTAAATGAAACGAGCACCATGTTTAATGTATTTTAAAAATAGAAAAGAAAAGAATATAGTAAGAAAAATGAGCAAAAGAGATAGGACATCATGTTATAAAACTTTAATTACAATCTTATTGAGTAGGATTGACCATTACTTGCATTTCCAAAGCATTTTCTGTGCTTTTCACCTCCGCAAAGCATGTAAAAAACACAATAAATACACAAATTGTTGCAAAAATAATATCTGACCACTAAAACAAGAGAAACATGCCATTCGATTGATATTCATTTATTTCTCTTTACATTTTATTTAAGTACTTTCAAAAATGCTACCATTTTCTTTGTATTTCCATCAATAATTCTCTTCCAAATATTATTCAGCAAGTAAATTTATTTATCATTTCCAAATGAAGTATTAAATCTCTCGATACAATGACTCATTAACTCAAATTAATTTATTTAATTCTCGTAATCAATTACATTTATTGATAAAACTACTTAGGGCTATCCAAAAATACTGCCACCATTCTTTTACTTGCAAAAGGTCATAGAAACATTTTCTTGAAATATACAATGATAGTAAAAGCAATGCTGCTTTTCTATCAAATATGACATGAGAGCTGCGATTTTTATCGTTCGAAAGAGAGAAGCAAGATGCAACGAATTCTGTATTATATATTGTTCTGGTATACTGACTGGAGTCTGCTTTATCAATTTTCTTAGGTTTGAAAAAACGTTTTTTAATAAACATGAAACAGTAAAGAAAATTCTTTTTTTCATAGAAATTGCTGCCAAAATCACTTAGAGCTTTGATCCAAATCTCTAAAACTGTCGAATGATTAGTTCTAAACGTTTGAACGTTGGGCAGCTTCGTTGGTTTATCATCGGCACTTTGGATAAACCTGATTATTTCAAAATTCGCTGTAAACATCTCATCGATTAGATTTGCGATAAAACAGGTCGATTGAAAAATTTGAAAAGATCAGGTCAGAAAAATCAATAATATAGGATTTTGAGTGTCGTCTTCTCCTCTTTCGGACGATGAAAAGTGATTAGGAAGATGAGTGACTTATCTGGGTTCGTAATCAGCGTTGAATTTTTTCTCTCATGGAGCAACTTTTCGAAAACACTTAGTCAAAAAAGTAGTCTTCATACCACTCGTGTAGCGAAAAAAATGAAATTTTTTTGAAAAATTATGAAGTTGTTATCATTAATTGAATGAATACCGACGCTATTAATCAAATGTTCATTTTTGAAAACCTTTAGATCAAAGAATCACTTGAAAATAATCGTTATTTTTCATAAGAATTAGACTCTAAAGATCGCAGTCAAATGAGCTGAGTTTTTCTAATCACCTTACATGTGATGATTTGGCACAATTTTTTTTCAGGTGGTTTTTAATGATCGGGTTTGAATCTTGTAAAAAGTTGCAAATTAAGATAATTATATGTTTATAGAGAAATTTGTGCGCTATCTAATGATATGTCTTTTTTGTTAAAATTGTATCACAATAGTTTGGAAAATTGTTTTTTATTATTCCTACACAAAATACCCAGGATTGTCCAATTTTAGCCCGCCTATATACCAAAACTGTCTATTCATCCTATCATGGGGAAATGGGTACAATTAATTGTAGGTCTCACTAAAGCGACCGTGGAAAAGTTATCCGAAGAGATTTTTACAAACCAAAACCACCGTTGAATAGAAAAATATTTTGTCTACATACTTTCTACCAAAATTCTTTTTTCATTTACAAAAAGATAGAAAAGATATTAGCTGTACGAGTAAAAAAGGTCAATTCTTTGTACCCACTCACCCCTCCTTATTCTATTTTAACATATTATTACCTGTTGAACATGAATTATTAGATTTTCAATTTTAATTTGATGGCTATGTGTCCATGTGGCAAGTAAAGCGAACACAGCTGCATAAACTAATAGAACCATAGAATACTGTAAAAAGTACTATGACAGCATTAAATATCTAAGAAATAGTAACTTGACTCACTTCACATTTATATATATATATTCCTTTGTTGAACGTTCACCTTTTTAACCTTTATGAAACAATAAATTGAGAATATAAAATACGTTAACGAGATCAATATTGTAAATACACATTTGATTATATGTTCAATGTAACTGTTTTTGTTACTAATATTCACTGGAATACCATTTGTTACAATATTGATCAATACTAACAGCTAAAAATAGAATGAAGAACATATGCGTATATTTCGATGTAGACGAAAAAGGTGTTCGATATTGACACATTGCAGTGCTCTATGTGACAATATAAGCGTAGTGATACAAAGTCGTCTCAAAATCAGAAAAACAAAATAATATCTATTTAATGAGTTCGGAATCTCAATATATTTCTTGGCACTTTTTTTGTGAATTAGAAAACAATATGGTACTTCTACGGTCGTCGACACTCGTTAAATTAATAACAAGGAAAGAAAGAAACAGAAAAAACAATTATTGGTTGACGATTTCTTTCGATATAAAATTTGTACAACAATAAATATGGCGCTGCATTATGGATGCAACTCTATGTAAACAACAGAATTCAAAGTCAAGAACGATATCTCTAGTCGAACATCTTGTAAACAAGATCTTGAGTAAAAAAAGGCGACATCATTTGTATGTTTACATGCTGACTATTATTGGCGTCAGAATTAAATGTAGGTTGATGTAAGATGAATATCTCGAGAACAGCAACAGCTATCAATCTGCGCTTTTCACCAGTCGAAAGAGACTGAGTTAGGGCATGCTTTGATATAATATTGCATAAGTTGAAATCATTATCTAACTCATGTGTTTTTGGAAATATTTCCGAAAAATGTATAATAATACAATGTTATTCAAATCAAATTTGCATTCTGACATGCAGATTAGATAGAAGGACTTCAGATCTATAGTTCAAGATATAATGCGAATGATTAACTTCGCATCGTCTAATATTTAGAAAATGAATTCGGTCATTTCCACGTCGAAATCATAGAGAATTGTGTTGATTTTTACGCAAACTTTGCTACATTTTGTCAAAAACGCTCGTTGTTCCGATGAAAAATTGATAAAAAGTAAAAACAGTCATCACTATTTCCTATGATCTTGGCGTGGAAATGACCGAATTTCGTTGCTAAATATTAGACAATGAGAATTAATCATTCGTATTGTATCTTGAACTATAGATCTAAAGTCCTTCTATCTAATTTGCATATGAGAATGAAAATTTCATTCGAACAACATTAAATTATTATATATTTTTCGGAAAGATTCCAAAAAAAGGTTGGTTAGAAAATGATTTCAACTTATATAATATTATATCAAAACATGTCCTAACTCAACCTCTTTCGATTAGTGAAAAGCTCAGATCTCTAGTTATTGCTGTTCTCGAGATATTCATCTTACATCAACCCACATTTAATTCTGGCGCCGACAATAGTATTTATAAAGCAACTATATAAGATAATAAATGTGTAAGAAATCTAACACTAGTTTATAATTGTTCTAGATTTATCGATCTGTATAGAAGTACCATGGTTAGAAATAGCTTCGAAATCTGCATGATATTAAGCAACTAAAATGTAAAAACTGAAGTTAATATAGTAGCAAAAGTATGAACAGATTATTCTATTTACTTTTAGGCCCATTCATTCATTTAACATTATTATTCACTGCTGTCTGAATATCAAGGATCTATTTCGAAAGGTGTGATGTGTTCTGACCCAATTTGGCTGCGCTTAATATTATTTTGTTCAATCAAAGATCGCATCAGTCGATAAGGTGCGGATTACTTTGCCCCATCAAGATGTTTGCTGATTGTTTTGAAATAATGTCAATTTGATATTGAGCTAACACGATGTTGACAAATTTCTGATGATAATTAATCACTGCCAAGTTGATCTCACATATCAGGTAAGACATTAGATCGAGCCCTGATTAACATTTTTTTGGCTTGCTTGATATTAACTAACAAAAATTTGACTTTGAATGAATTCTTTTATTCATTTGTTGACTCGAAGAGAAATTTCTCGTATCCAGAGTAATTCATGTTACTCACAAATCGAAAGGATCGTTTTCTTTTCAATGGAATATTTAGCTTTATTTGCTTTTAAGTTCAAACCAGTTCTATATTTCAATGACTGATAATTGATCATATCAATATTTAACATGAATTTAAATAAATTCTGAATAGTTCGAAAAAAATTGAATGTTAGAGTGCTCATTAATAAATAAATTTTTCTAGTGATTATAATCAAATATATTTTGTTTAATGACGAAAAAATAAATATTTTAATGTAGTCTCATACAGAATCAATGATATTGCAAGGTTCTTTTTTCATCAAAAACTATTGAATAGAAAATGTTCTGTGTTGTCCTTGACCTTGTCAGTAAAGACTCATTTTTACCTGAAAGTAACAAATTTTTTTTTATTCTTTTATCTAAAAAA